TTGAACTGCATGATTAATAGGTATATATATATTATGTTGTATGCAAATTTCTTTCACATCATGATCTGCTATCAGAACCATGCGCACATACACCACAGCTCATGCAGGGATCACATATATATATATATATATCGATATCTCTATAATCTATATTATTATATTATATGCAACACTGCAAATTATGATATATTAATTTTGTACAAGTGATGAAACATGGACAATGGACAAAGCTCTGCAAGCTCAAGATTTGACCTTTCACATACACATCTTACTCTTAACAAGTACGTGATAAATAATATATACAGTATATATGCATATATATGTGCAGGATAAATATATATATATATATAAGTCCATGCATGTACAGTACAGAATGTATTACTCCTCCGATGCAAGTTGGAAGTTGGCTTTGTGGATGATGTAAGTTCCTGGGTTTCCGATGCTATTCCCACAGTGCTATCCTCAATAATAATATATAATATAATTAGAGATCAGATCCAGGTTATTATTTAATTGTGTATGTTTATAATATATATATATATATACGTTGAAATTGAAATGTTTCTTCGGGGTTGCCAACATAGCTCAGCACCGACTAAAGTACTTTAGTAAAAAATATATATTATATATTCGATAGATCTTAAAACATGCCAGAGTTACCTTGCGTTTCTGTTTGCTCATGCCTCTTCCTCTTGTCGGAGTTTTCCGACCTTCTGGTGTGAGCATGTTCGCATCCTGACGGGCTGCTGTCTTTTTGATTTTACAAAATTAACATGTGTACCGGTTTAAATTCCCTTCCCCAGCAATAACTCATGCAAAGTATGCATTCTTTCTCAGTTGGGAAAATCATGTCAAACCAGCTAAAATCAATCTACATAAGAAACTTTTAGTTGATCAGAAAACTCAGACTTGTATAATATATATAATATAGACATGTCATCATCAAATGAACTTAAACATGCTTCGTTTCTAAGCTCAAAGACATGAAAGGGTGGCCTAAAGGTCCTTGAACAGTTTGAACTGTAATAGGCATTTGCTTCAAATCAATTTTTCATGATAGCGACAACTAGAAGGCACATCCCACCTTCAACCGTTGCCGTATCACAGTTTTCAGCTGTTCAGCACGGGGATGTCCAGGCCTCGACACTGCCGCTGTACTACTTTAAAGGGTTCCCGGTAAACCGATTGGGCGCATATAGCATACATACATGTATAACATTATTATATTATATTATTATTATATAATTTACACATTTTTTTCCTCATCAAACAACTGTACTAGACTGAACATATGCATGCACAGCATTGCCTCAGCTCGATCTGGGAAAACGAAAAAGGCATACGCTTGCACAATTCAAACTGTTGCATTTGCATGTTCAACGCAGCACTTCTATATAATTATATATGTCAACATTTGGTCCCAAACATGTTGGTTGCCGAGTTCAAAGGAGATCGAGAGCCCGGAAATACCCACAATGAGTTCCCGGCCGCACCCCACGGTTTCTTTGAAATCTGTTCAAGCAGTAGCTGAGAAGGCCTTTAACTGGCCCCGCTTCCACGGCCGCCCAGGCCTGTCCATGCCCATGATTAGCGGCACTGTAGAACGTATTGTATACATGACGGCATGTTACAAAAAGATAACGATGATTCATATTAAAATTCATATTAAATTCATATTATAGAAGCTCCCAAAGATACAGCGATGATCCACAAGTGCAACTCTTATCACACAGGATAAACATGCAATCACAAAAAGCATATCAACATCTATCCCAAAAGAAGATCGAAGATCCACAGGTACTTCCAATTAAATAAGCTGTTTGGTGATTCCTCCCAGCACACATTTCGCACAACTCTGGCCTCGTGCAGGTAGTGTTCCTTCCAAGGGTTCAGCCGATAGGTGAATGAAACCCAAGTAAGGGCAACCTTCCAGGTGACAAAAAAAGGCTGATCAGGCAAGTGTGCGCATGCTATTCTTATCACATACAACATGCATGCATAGCATAGCAAAACAACCTAAGACACCAAAGATTTGAAGCAGCAACCAGAAGTGCCATGTAATTTCTGAGGGCAGTTGATAAACTAAGGATTCCCGGACAGACAGCATGCTCAGAATTGTTTGCTTTGCTGTTGCAATCACGAATTCACCAATAACACATGTGACAGTAGTATACTTGCACTTGGCTATTAAAAAAAAAATAATGTTCTTCCACCTCGACTATTGATTATGTTTTATCACTAAAACAAGCTTGCGCTTAATTGCGTTATAATCGTGATAGATGGTCGTGCTAAAGCAGTAATTAATGTCTTTCCCAAAAACTTTGGCCTGCCTCGAACTCTCGTTTTGACGGCGGATCCTCGGCGAATGATGCACAAAGCTCAAGTGCAAGACCAAAGTTGAAGTCGCTCTCCGCCTGGCCCGATTGGGATTGTAACCGAATCACTTTCATCACATATATATAAATAAAAGTGAAAAAAAACATGCATGTGTGTGTGTGATGATGTCACATGTTTCTTTTTAAACATCATGCACGTACCATTCATGGAATGCGTGTCTACAAATACAATACCGGTGAAACTGGTGAAGTCACCACAACGACACATAACGTAGCAAATGCAAAAAATGCGCACAGTGATGATGTTTCTGTAATAAATTATATAATATAATATGCATGTGATGTATTTGATTTCACTTATAAGGCCTGCCGCTCACCAATCTCCAGTTTGCTGTCCAAAATGACAAACTTGAACTTTGGCACCTAGGCAAGCCGGAACAATAGAAGCATTCGCATTTTTTGAAAGAGGCTAGCAAACATACGAATAGTATTTCTAGTACAGTGCAGTAGGGTGCACATCATACGTGTTTTGAACTCAAAAGCAAATTAAACCCACTCATGCAGGCAAATGGAAGTACCCGATTGGCGATGGTTAAAACTAACACCACCATGCTGTGCCATGAGGATGCTGTGCCAAGCCAATCGACTCAGAGTATCCATATCCATGTTTGTGACATTCTGTTTAATAGCTTATGAGCATTGATAAAAATTTTCCCAAGCAACAATCGATATCTTTTATAATTTAAGTCACATGCATGTAATTCCCACCACATCCACCTCGACATCAGGATATATCGGATGTTTTTGAAACAGGTCAAATTCCTTAATTTACGAAAATGCATTTAAACGATGAATGCTATATTGTTTTATAATATAATATTATCCTTTTTATTGCGAGCCCAATCTGAACCAAGCTTTCCACTTTGTGTCTATCTTCATCTGAAAGTCCAGCTCGTAGACGTAGGATCTTCCGCCTGTCAGAGATGTACGTCCCGTCTTCACAAAGCTCTTTCAGGATCTCCTGGCCAAGGGGAAAAAACAGTATGGAAACATAGCTGACCAATCATTATTAACTATGAAATATTTATTGCAAATACCTTGGTTCACGTCGACCATCTCTATATATATATATCGAGTTTTTTTTTGCATATGGTCGAAATAATCATATCCGCAATGCAATCACTCCTTCACACCTGACTTTCCTACTTTCCAATCAAGACCATAGTGAAACTTCTGCATGTTTAATTCTCCAGGTCTACTACGATTCAATTTTAGCTTGAATAACATTACCTGTTTGCACATGGTGGATGAATTACATCATGAACCCAACATTACATGCATGCAGCTATGCATGCAACAGTGCCATGCCAGCATGCATGTGCATGCTTATGCGCTTGTGATGCTAAAAGATACTAGCAGCACAGGCGAAATTAAGTCTCCTTGATGACCTGGACCTTGAAAGGGTTAGGTGTCGTGACGCGCTTCTGGACTGTGCTGTCGCCCATTGCTCTCTCAAAAAATCTATATCTCAAAACCAAATTAACAAACATGAAAATGATTTGATACAACATCCTTATTGGAGGAAGACTTGTAAATGTTCATGATTCATGTTGTCAATCCTGTTTGCATGCTAGTGTTTGCTTACACGTACAGCATGGGCTATTGAGCCATACGCCATACCCCTGTCGAAGGTTGAAGATGATGGAGCATAAGATGCACAAGATTGCATGTACATGCATCATGCATCATATATGATATTATAGTACGTTTCAAGGCTGACGCACGGCAATGGCGGGAGGCGTACCAAGCCCTTCAGTGTCTATGACGTGTTCCCCAGCCAGCTCTTCCATGAAACCTCAGGGGCGTTGTGAGTGTCAATGGAATTCCTTACCTGTCATAGCCAACATCGTATATGCAAATTTCCTCTTAGGTAGTACGGGCAGTATTGCACACATCTGAAAATACTTATCTCCGATCTAGTTTGACTTTGTTGCAAATTATATACACATCACATTAGGTTCTTTCTCTCTGACTGAGAGGCTGGCGTGTTTTGAGGGCTCTCTTCATGATGAAGCCGTAGGCCACCCAAGATAGGAGCAAGGCAACAGCCGGTCGCATGAAGGCAGGAGTAATCAGACACGCAAATTTCAGAGTAAAAAAGACGAGGGCTGAAGGATGGTGGTGTAAATTCCATATGGAACTATCAAAGGGCCAACCCTTCTTTGATATAATATATTATCGAACTAATCTGTCACAGGTAGTGGATGATTTGGGTAATATTAAATAATGGTGCATTTTCTTCTACCTGAGCAGCAATGGTTGCAGACCAACTGAAGAGGACCTGGTGGCTGGGCAGGAAAAGGTCGTTAGACCCAAACAATAGTCGAGGTGGAAGAACCTTTGTTTTAATAGTCGAGGAGCATTAGGGTATATATATATTAATATGTATATGTATATATATATTGTATGTATATATGTATAATATATTATGTATAGTAGAGATATTTCGTGATATTTGTCATGCCACCTGGATGTTTTTCTCATGTGTTTTCAATGTGTTCCTGTTGCTAGATCATTCACAGCAGTACTTTTCCAAGATGCATGTCATGTCACTTAATCATACTTGATCACGTGTAATATCTTGTGATGCAACTTGTAATGCAGGATTCCATCAAGCGATTTGGCGGCTCGACTGCTCCCACGGCACCCTGGCCCCAGACACAGGTTCCAGAGGAGGCCGGAGCACGGTATTGATCATAGCTATTCATAGCTGACAATGGGCACAGCAGGTTGCATTTCTTGCATGTCACTACTGATACTTATACTACAGTCATACAGAGTCATACGTCCTTTTTCATTTGAGCTGCGCTATAAACTCTTTATGTATTGGTGAGTAAGGGGACGGTCATAAGGTGGCTTCGCGTAAGCCAAAACTGCAGTGGCGTAAGAGCTGCGGAAGGTTTTTGGCTTTGAATGTTGTGCGTAAGCCTGCGTAAGGCATGCTTGAAAAGCACCTTTTGGCTAAAGAATGAAAGAAACATGAGGGTCAATATGCTTGGTCACGTTGATGACAGTCAAATGGAAGGGAAACCGAGCTTCAGATATTGCAGACTAGGCAAAACCAGTGTGGCACGGTTCGGTTCGGTTTTACAGGAAGTCGGTTCGGTTCCTAAACGGTTCGGTTCCTATAGAAACCGGTTTTTCCGGTTCCACGGGTCCAATTTGTTCGGGTTGAGAAATGCTCATTGCTGCCACGAAACCAATTTTGAAAAAAGAATGTGTTTTTTCGCGTAAGGAACGCGTAAGGTATGCGTAAGGAACGCGTAAGGCCCACCTGCTTTATCTGAACAGTTGCCCCATGGCCCCGAAACGTCGCCCCATGGCCCGATGGCCCCGTAAGCCCCGAAAAGCAGGCTCGAAAGCGTCGACCGCAACAGGCAACATTGAAAGCTGACGGTTCAGGCTCGTCCTCAACATCCTCTTCTTCAACATCTTCATCTTCGGATTCGACAAATGATGAATGACGCATTGAAATACTCTGTTGCAAAAAAGGCCGCGTAAGGAACGTGTCACGAAAAAAGATGACTTTGTGGTGACTTACTTTCGCGTAAGCCTTGCGTAAGCCCATAGAAAGCCCAGATCCCCGCGTAAGAGAAACCCCCAATAGCGTAAGGATGCGCAAGCATGTGCGTAAGCATGTTCTTACGACCTAAGAATCTATCAAGGTTTCCAGCATGGCTCATTTGTGTCTTATCGGTATTTTGCTGTCCTTTTCTTACACTTGTCCTCTCGGAATTCTCCTCCCTTGGACCGCATGGAGTTCAGATCGACCTTTTTTTCGCTTGATCCTTGGATCATTGAAGTTGATGCTTTGATGGCCGTAAAGGAACAGGACAAAATAGCGCTGCTGGATGCTCGGCAGAACATGGCACGCTACACGTTCCGGGAAGGGCCAAAGTATGCCAAAGTCATTTAAGTAATTTTGTACACGTCTTTTTCTTGAAAGGTTTCCAATGGTTTCCTTAACTTCCTGGCCTTGGTCTACACATGACTATACAAGACTTTATTGCACGCGAGAGGAATTTGCACTGGAATTCTGATGCATGAGAGGCGGGTGTTCTTGACCCATTGTTTTGGCATATGTTGGCTGCGGAAGACAAAAACCCGTTATAACATGTTATAACATTTATAACCAGTTGGCATATTCATGTGCTTGCATATTTTGATAGAATTGGTGGCCAAAGGTGTTCGGATCTTAGTTTTTCTTGCTTTCCGTTAAGCCTTCTCTGGCGTGAGCTCTGGAGCGAAACAGATCAGATGGGAATCATGGAAGGAACCCTTGGCCTGTGGCTATCAAGAAGCATTGTCAAGACGTGTCAGCACCTTTTCGCCGGGAATGTTAGCTTATCGCTCTTGTGGATATGATTGCGTGATATTGCGTGTTCCTTCCGATTGTTCCATGGAATGCCATGAGTTTGGTTGCCTTTAATGGTGTCAAATTCGCTCACTTTTGCGCATTACGTCTCATCGTTGGATATCATTGGTAGCAAGACGAGGAGACATGCCTGACAATTGAACGCATGCTGCAAATACAGTTCTTGCATGCTGCCCCGTCTTAGGAGAAGAAGTTGATGAAGATTATCAAGGTTTCCAGCAGCAAACACAATCGTGGCGGCAGCACGACAGGTTCGAGTATGTCAGGCCAGTTGAGTCCTGGGGATTGGGAACTGAGGAACCATACAATTCCATGAAGGCCTGAGTTGATGGAGTGGCTATGAGTGGGTGATTTAGTCAACTTGGTCATGCCATGTCATGCCATGTCATGCCATGTCATGCTACTTCAGAATAGGCCAGGGACCTTTTGTAACAACTTGGAAAGATGCAAGTGGTTCGAGCATGCAGCTGAGATCAGCTGAGTGTATCTGCATGTATTACAATGTATTTGCTCAAGATGAACAGTGCTTAGCTGCTTAGCTTGACCCCGTGATACACAGCACCACTGCACCAGTGCCCTACGGGGTGACTCTTGCACCTTCAGCCTCGTTCCCAGGAGCATCAGGGGCAGGGACTAGTAGCGCGATCGATAGCAGCTAAGCTTAGGCCACGTAGCTTAGACTCGTTGCCTGAGAAACAGGTATACCTGTAGCAGATGTAGCAGGTTGACGTGCGTTGAACTAATTAGTTGCAACTGCACAAGGGCAGAATATCGCCAAAGTTTGAAGGCTTTCTCTGGCAAAAGCCCAAAGCTCTGC